ACCAGCAGAGAAACTGGAGAAATAAGAAAAAGTAATTTCATCAAAAATAAACTCTATTTTTTGTCTCCATACATCCTATTTTTAAAAAATCTATTAATTTTATGTATTTTAAATGGTCCGTAATTTTCCAATTGTTCTGAGCAGGATGAGGAAGAGACTCCTATAATTCCAGGGAGCTGTTTTTAGCTAGGGCATTGAAATAACCCTGTGAGTGGTTTCCTTTACAACTTTATAGGTCACCACCCTTCCTTTTGGAAGTCAGAAACGTAACTTTTTCTTAACTTATTGAACAGTGCTTGCAGTGCAGTGCTATCCTACAACTTATTGCAATATTTAATTTATACTATTACTTGTAGGAAAAAAGATTTAACCTACTCTGTGTATGTGCATGGCTGTATGCATATGCATTTATGCTGTATATACTATCTGTTTTTCTTTCCTCTGGTGTTAGTAGTAAGAAGCTTTGAGAAATAGGTTTAAAATGGATTGGCACACATTCTGCTGGAGCTGCATATAATGTAAATGAGATTAGTTTCAATGACTCTACTTACAATATGTTACATTTCTGTAGGCTAAGGGAGACTCTGCCAAAGGACGCTGCCTTATGTGCTGGTTTGGCTTGTACATCAGAGCTAACATTGATAGTGACATAAGTTTTCTGCTTATTAGTAGACAAATCTTTACAATAATTAAATCCTCTGTATATGGAAGTATTGAGAATCTGAATTTCAACAGAAATTCATAACAGAAGTTATAAATTCAGAAATTCATAACTTTTCAGTACACGCTGAAAAGGCAGGTTTGCTTCATTATGAAATATGAAGAATCACAATTCTCTAGAACAGAATTTGTGGTCACTGTGGCTGAGCCTGAGTGCAGTCAAATGAGGGATGCAGTTGTCTGGCTAGTTGTAGGTGGAAAAGGGAATTTCTTTGACCTAGTTTTTCCCCACAATGACACCACATGCACAAAAAAAATCCTGCTGACTGAAGAAGAGGAAAAGAAAATGTGTTTTGTGTGTTCATTTTAATAACTATGTAAGTCACAAGGACTGCATAGTGGTGGGCTTGAAATAAGTAGTTGTAGGGCTAAATGTTCTGGTGTTCTAAGTAGTCTTCATTTTTTTTTTAATGTGTTTCCTAACCAGCTTTTTTTTTTTGCATTATTCCTATTTTAAAAATTTGATATTCAGAGATGCACAACTGATCTCTAGCTGTGGATGGATGTTGGAGGAATAATGTGTCAGTAATGACAGGGAGGAGCCTTATTCTCTGCCTAAACAGAAGTAATGTTTATTCTATATCTCTCCTTGTTGCCGTAAATTGCTAATGTTTTTGTGTATAGTATATATATCCATGAATGCCATAGTACTGGAGGTGTGAACATACCTTCTCTTTTTTTGTTTTGTTTTGCTTTGTTTTTTTTCCCATGTAAAAGACAGGGTCCCAAGTAGCTTGAAACACATGGTATTGAGTACTAGAAAGTGAGAAATGTTCTTCTGAGGGCATTTTGCTTTCTTAAGAGTAGTTTGGTTGATGGAAGATTCAGTAGCTATTCCCAATGAGACAGAAAAGCAACATAAATGTAAAAATGGCTGTAATGTGGCTAAAGGGGTGAACTGAAGAAAATTTCCATGAGGAAACTATTAAGCTGGACTTAGTCCCCCAGTGATTGGGTTGGAACTTCTATTTCTTTGCAGGGTGAAGGTGTGTGCCAAGGTGACGAAATACCCAGCGGGGGGTTCCTGGCTGCCTGACCACAGTGGAGGCAGAGCACGTACTGAGCCTTTTGCTCCCTGCAGGGCTCAAAAGTTTTTAAGTTTTAGTTAAACATGACACAAATTATGAGGTTCATTTTTTTTTCTTTTTCTTTTTTTTTTCCTCATTCCTGAAGTGAAAACTGCAGCCAGGCATATGGGACCAAAAGATTTGCAGTATTCAGATTCCTGAACTAGTGATCAGATCGGCTTTTATGGATTTTGTATGTCGAAAGGAACTTTGTTGCAGGGGCAGCGGGAGAGAGGGGAAATGTGATTTAAACAGAAGCACACCCAATTACTGCCAAATGAACAGAGGCAAAGAAATTGCATAACCCTCATAATGTGCATGCCTTTCTGTTGGAAACCAGGTTTTGTTGTTCCTGCATTTGCTGATCGCTGCAGTCTTTGCATCCTCAGAGCTGTAGCAAATCACATGAGTCTTCTGTTGCTTGTAACATGGCTAAATTAATGGTATAAAAAGGAATTGTGCACTGCAATTAATCAGTTTTAAAAGTAGATCTTCCCATTTCCACCATGTCTTTTCCCAGTGCTGAGTAAATACTTCTATTTTTTCCTGTTATACAAGGCTACAAGCCTACGAGATTGGTTTTAAATCCATGCAAGGTTTCTCTGGAAGCTCAGCTCTGGCCACAGCTATGCTTAATGGCAGTGGGGAAAAATAGATGTGAGCCAGAGCCAAGCCTGTTTACCCTTGTTTGCAGTAATGGATAGAAAAAGCAAAAGAAGCCTAAAGATATCCCAGCAAGAATGTGTCGCCAGCCCCTCTGAAACACCTTTGTCATGCTAAGCTTTAGTGACTCACTTTTTCTCCTTAATTCTTACAATTTCAAACTCACATACTACCCATTGGGAAAGGAGTAAGCAGGGGGAAGCTAAATAACCTAGAATCTGTATGTATTTATGTCT